TCAGAAATTTGTGAGCTGCATGTTTTTATGCATAGACCTGTCCAGTACATGACTTACGCTCGACTAGGGGCCCATCCTGCGTCATTTGAGTGTTCGTGCGGAGTAATCCTTTGCGTGCGCTCGCCACTTTATGCGGCGCCTTGTCGGCATCGAGGCTCTCTTGACAGCGTCGAGGTGGAAAGAACCCGGACTGATTGCAGTGGCAGAGAGCATTCACCAGCTCGTCCATTTCCGCGTTAAAGTGCCAAATTCCTATTCATTTGTTTATTTGCTTATTCGCGTGTTCGTTTCATTTTGCGTTGTGCTTCTGTTCTTACCAACACGTAAAGTTACTTGTTTACTAATCTGCCAACGCAGAGCTTCCTGATATGATGCTGGTGACCAAGGAAGCCCTTCTGGAGCTCCTCAGGGACACCGACACGCTGAGGAAGGTGGAGAGCAGGGACGCAAGACAGGTATGTTAAAGCACTGTGTCGAAAATGACGCGCAAAGTACTGCGAAAAGCACCCCCCCCCACACACACACACACAAAGCACTGCAAAACATACTCCAAAGTACTGCATTGGAAACATGCCTTTTCTGCGCGGAATATGACGTGGTAGATTTAAGGCTGCCAGCTGGAATGCTTCCAATGTTGGTGAGCTTCTGCGAATTGCTTGCCCCCCATACCGGCATCTGTCGACCTTGTGGATCGAGTGCTGTGTGTCCGAAATTCCTCGAGAGAAATGCTATCAAATCGTTTTAGTTTTTGGTTTTTAATTTTTTCTTCAGTATTTGCTTGCACCAGTTGTTACTGAAAGCGTCGAGTCATAAACACGTGTGCGCATCAATTGGACAAAAAATATGTGTTGTTTGTACGCGGGCAGTACTGGAAATGTTGTCCGTCTTCCCCGTTTACAAGGCTGAATGCGTGGCATACGCAATTCATTTTCCTCTGCGCGCGCAAAGCTTACGCTGAACATAGCCGCCTCTTGATGCGCCTGGGTCGGAAGACCCCTTTCCTTATCGGCCTGCTCGTTGCGTGCTGGAAGATGTTTGATGCCGTCTAAATGCCTCGACTTCGGAAAAAGCTTGGGGGCACGTGCGTAAGCTCGCAGTGCGCCATTGCCATTGTCGCCGCAATGACCGCTCTGCGGTTGCCGAGGTTCTCATGTGCAATCAGCAGCGTTTTCTAAACGCAGACTTTGACGCCATGACGCCGTTTTCTGTGTTGAAAGTATTGCAACGTTGGACCTGTCATTGAGTCCGGCTTACAATATGCTGCGCTCTACGCGTTGAGCTTTCTGGTACTCTCACCGCCCAGAATCCACCTGAGCCCTATAACATATTCTTTGCATTTATATGCTAATATGTAATGTTGTGTGCATCGTTGATGTGTAATATGATTATGGTATATTCCACATTGCTCATTGCTCTATCCGCAGTCTGGTATTTGATACCGCGCGTCGCCCATCCGTTTTTTCAGTCCAATGCTAACTGCAGATGCTCGCCTCCCAGGATGGCCGCCGCCGCCGCTCCCTCTTGTTGTCCCTCAGCGACCGCCGGTTGCTCACTCCCGTGGAAGGCGGCGACCCGCACACCCTCGACGAGGCCCTCGTCGGTTCGTCTGCTCGGTTTGTCGGTTCGTCCAATCGGTCTCTCCAGTGCGCCGATTGCGACAACGCGGACAGCTACCTGTGCGCCTACTGCTGGGAGGAGGACTTTTGCAGCGTGTTCTACTGGTGCATGGACCACGAGAGCACGGCGGCGGCCCCCTCCGGCTGAAGGCTTTGCTTTGTGGGTAGGATCAGGGCGTCGTCGAAGCTCATACGAAAGAGCGGTTGCTGGCGTCATAGTATACCAGAAGTCCGATCGCTGACGCCAGACCTGGTCCCAAAGACCGATGCTGTAATTCAATGAAAATTGAGACTAGCGCCTCCGGGCCCACCCGGCGGGATGGCTAGTTGTGGCCCGGCCCTGCCTGCTCGATCCCAGCGCATGGGATCAGAATGGGGTCGGAATAAGATTAGAACGGGACAAGAACATGTATGGAGTTTGCTGCAAGCGATAGGGTGCGCACTGGACGAGTGCACGCGTGTGTGAGTGTAAGTGTGGATAGGGGGCGGAATTCACTCTGACGATGAATGGTGAGGATAACCCAACTTCATCGTGACCGACGGTCGTGAATGTCACTGGCCCTCGCCTTTGCTCTCAGTGGCTTTGCAAGAGCTGCCCATTACTACCACAAAGCATTGCAGTCTGAACAGAGCCAGAGCAAACCAGATGGTGGAGGATGCCAATGAATCAGGGTAGGTGGGGTTTGGGCTGGGGACGGGAGGCGAATTCTGCCAATGCCAGCGTGTCAGCCAGACGCATGTGTTGCTCGTGGGAGTTGTTTGAATGAGGGACTGTGCCGCACTGCGGTTCCCGAAGAGGGCCTGCAGGAGCGACAAGGGGGCGCGCATCGTGCGCGGCGCACGGGGTAGCTGCCATGTGGGAGCGTTGTTGTGGCAATGGTGCAGCAACGTAGTGCTCGCGCCCTTGATGAGGCTTCCATGGACACGGCGATGCGTGGATGGTAAGCCTACGCGAAGCAATGAAGCAAGTGTGGGTCAGAAACAACTGGAGCTTTTCTTATGCATAGCTAGGACTCCGCGCTTCAACGGCGCTTTGTTTTTGCAGAGCGGGAGTGCTGATTCTAGAGTTCGTGGACCTTGGAAGCTCCCACACATGTCCACGTGTATTATACGTAAAATCAGAAGTGTACAAAACTTCATTTTTTTTACAAGAACTTCTGGCTGTAGGAAGGGCGTCCACATCCAGCGGTGAGTTTGAGTCCTGCCCGGAATGGGATCCAGTATTGTTTGTTTTGTTTGAGCTTGTGACCAGGCAAGATGGCCGAATAGCAAGAAAGTTGAACGGGTTGACCGGGCTGATGGACGCCAGTGCAACTGTAAGCGCTCAGCAGCTGACCGGGTGGGGATAACTCGATCAGTACTTGACTGGATCCTTTCACAGAGCCATTGAATTGTCTGCAACTGAAGGAATGATTACTTGTTACATTTACCAGGTTGGTTCCCAATCTCATAATGGCGCTCTAGCATCGCAACTCATTTGCGGGTCGGCAATGCATATTCCACTCTTGCGCTGATCGTGCATTGTTGTACGACTCCCTTGCAGGTTGTGGTGGAAAACACTCGAAAGACCCCACATTATCCAGCAGCTCCTTCTCCATAACGCCGCAATTCTGCTCAGCGGTTTTCAGCGCTTGGGTTAGTCATATATTGCATGGGGCTATCCGCCTGCACGCAGCTGGCGCCTGTCGGCTTCCAAACACGTGTCTGTGTGTAGTAGCGGCACGTTGTCAAATTTGGGCGCGGCATAGCAGGTGGCGACATGGGCGCTTGGCGCTTATCACCAATGCTGTTTTGTCGCCCTCAGTTCATTGGAAGTGCACGCGCTTGTGGAAAGCCTTCGACGAATCGTCTGTAATAACTGGCAAAACTGAGGAGTCGATGTACCCCAGCAACATTACTCGTCCCCTTCCACACGCGGATCTCTCCGCCTCAACGCAGCCTCGGTAACCGTGTCTTAACTTGCACACCCCTGCTCCGGGCGCCACTTGGCGAAGGCAAGTAGGGTCGGAGAGTGCAGCCCCTGGGAAACCCTGGCGCACACAGCGACGGGTTCAACGGAACAACAGGTTCAACTGCTGGCCATTTCCCTAAACACAAGGTCATCCATTGGTATCGTTGGCTCAATTAATGTCATAATGGCATCCACCAAGACGCGGCAAGTGTGTGTCAAGTGTAAAACGCCACACGCGAGCTTGATGGCGTCCACAACGTGTGCCAGCGGAAAACGACATTTTTGAGATGCTGGCTGCGATGCCATTTGATAGTCATCGATGCCACCGCAACTTCTTTTATGCCACCTCAATCACTGCAATACCCTCACTTAGTTTCAAAATGACATCCTCGCTGGTATTACAAAAATTGTGTTTCCTGCAGTGGGGGACCGTTGCTCGTTACACGGCGCCCCAACATCATGCATCCTGATTCTCCCACCAATCGCATTTGATCCGCACCAATCGCTCCTTGCGCGCATTGTCGTCACACATCCACAAATTTTGACACAGTTGGCAAACAATTCGGTTGTCGCATCTCCCTGTGGACCTCCCGAGACTGGAGAACGCAGCAGAGCGGGGGCGCCCTGGGCGAATTCAGCCTTGCATGGAGCTCAACGCGACAAGATCTAGAAACGGGTATCTGTTATGGTCTGCAGCTGGTGCCATACTTAACATATATTCAATTTACGGCCACTGAAGTATTGGCTTCTGTTGAGGCTATGTCGAAGCGTGCATACCCCTGTTTGGAGCATGGAGAGATCGTTGAATTGCCGTCGTGTTGCGATCGTCTGTTGCGCTTCCTGGGCAAGGTCCCCGATTCTCATCACAAGATTATGTGCGGCAACTAGCATCGGCACGGTGAGGCAGCGAAAACTTACCCATAGTTTTGGAAGTTCCAATGCATGGTACATATGAATTCATGAGTACCAATGCAAGGTGGCAACACTCAGCTCTCGTATGCATATATTCATACATTTCAATGCACCCGCTCAGGCCCTGTGACTGGACATACAGCAATAGCATCGTAGGGCGTCACTCTGTCTCCAAACGTAGGCCTTAAGAAAGGTCGCGGCACCCACGCCTTTCCAAATATAAAGTGCTGTCCCCTTAACGGTCGAATCATGGGACAAGTTGAGGCTCACTCAATCGACGGCACAAACCTAGCCATGTCACAACTTGTGATATCAAAGTAAGGGGGATGCTCAGTCACAGCTTGCCCCGTGATTTGTGACTCGCAACTATAACGTCACCTTGCCCAGCGAATGATTATGCAGTATCATTAATATGGGCACCAAGAATTCCATACGCTGAACATTCAGCCCCTGCATTGCAGCCATGCCAGCGGCACCATATGGAATCATAATCACAAAGCCGACACTTCGAGACAGCGTTCTCACAAGCAGGGGAGGCATTCCCTCAGGTACGCTTCTCCATCTGCACTTACCAATTCACAATACTCGAGATTTAGCTCCTTAAGTGCAGTCAATCTTGCCAGTTGGACCAAGCCTCCATCGGTAATATTGGAGAGGCAACTCAAGTTCAGCCTCCGAAGGCCTTCTAAATTTCCCAAACGCTCCAAGGTCCTGTCTGAGATACCGGCGCGCTTCAAGTTCAAGTCCTGGAGGCTCACCAACCCTGAGATTTCGTCAAGCCCACGGTCGGTGACGTCTAGGGACTCGGATAGGTCAAGAGACGTCAAAGATCTCAGCTTCAACACATGCCGCATGCCCTCGTCTGTTATTCGGCCCACGGAGCTGATATTCAAGTACTCCAACTTCCCGCACATCCCCACGTACCTGAGTCCCTCGTCAGATACTTGGGTGCAGCAGAAAAGCGATAGGTGTCTCAGAGCTTCAAGCCCCTCCAATATGTCCAACCCCCCGTTTGTTACTTGGCCACATAAACCCAAGTTCAGGTGTCGAAGACTCTTCAGCGCCGAAATGTGGCACAACCCAGAGTCAAGGCGGCAATCATACAAACTAAGGGTAGTGAGACAGGACAGCATTCCCACGCACTGCATGCACGCATCAGGCAGTGCCCCAAATTCATCCAAGTTCAAATGCTCGAGATTTGCGCAGCTCCTCAGCCGCCGGAAGCCCTCACTACCTATCAACCGACAACCGGCAAGCGACAGGTGCCTGAGGGCTGTCAATTTCTCCACGTGCTTCATGCCTTCATCCGTAATCATCATGCACGTCAAATCTCTTATGTTGTAATCTGTGGACACGTCCAGGTGGGTCAGAGCCACTAAATCCGTCAGATGCTCGAGCCCCTCATCCTCAATCCCAAAACAATTACCAATATTCAGATGCCTGAGACTGGTCCACATTCCGACCTGCTCCAGCCCCTCGCTCGACACCTGGGGCAGGAATCCAAGTCCAGAAATGTTAACGCAGTCAAGCCGCTCAGGTGCGCCAGGCCATCATCCGAGATTTCGGTAGTGTCGCCGAAGCGGAGAGCACAAGGCAGCGGGCCAGAAATACTGAGGTGCCTGAGGTTTGCCAGCTGCCCCACGTGCAGAATGTCCTCGTCAGTGAGTATGCGTCGGCCCAAATCCAGGTATGTCAACTGCTGCATACCACCCAATGCCTCCATTGCATTTGTCATTGCCCGCACGCCATAAGTTCTGAAGCTCAGTGCCTGAACATTTGTAAACTTGCTGCTGATGACGTTGACGATGTGCTGCAAGGGCAAGTGCCCGTTGATATTCAAGGCGGTGACAGCTCCTGTTGCCCAGGCGCCCCAGTGCCTGTTTACCTTCCTGCAAACCTTCATCACGTCGTTTCCACGGTCCTCTCCTCTTTCTGCCACCTCTCTCAGTCGATCCAAAACTGCCAAAGGCAGGTTGCTCCAATCAAACGTCCTCATTTCTCTGCCCTGGAGCAAACACAATCTGACGCCTTATGGACTCTCATTTTGCGGTGGCTGCACAGGGAAAGAACACAGCAACAAACGCCAGTAGAAAACAGGCCTTTTGCAATGCTAAGCGCCGTGCCATCTGACACAAATTGGTGGCATCACAGCCAGTTTTGTGCCATCGCAATCACTGTGAAGGCGCAACTTTGTGTCAAAATGGCACCTCAGCTGGCATCACAAACATGCCGTTTCTACCAGTGACATCTTCCACTGGCAACGAGCTTACTCCCAAAAATGGCCAGTGCTTTGAGAGCGACGGGCGCTGGTGCGATCCGCAATGCGCTCTTGGCCAGCATGGGCACCGGAGGGAGATTTAACTACGGTGGCTACAGTCAGCAGGCAGCTGTGCCATAGAAAAAAATCACCAAAGAGCACAGCGGCTCACAGTCAGGCAATGACCCTGCTTGTGTTTCAGAAGTATACTATCCGTCCTTGTGCACAAACACCCCAAGCAATAGGAGCGATTCCCACTTTGGACAATACCAAGGCCATCACAGTCTGCAAAAGAATGGCTCCGCCACCACACGTACACCTGATCGCATACTGTTTTTTCTTAATTCGTGTAAAGCTCCAGGCACCGCCGTCATTGGGCGTGCAGGTGAGGCATCGCGTCCCGTACAAAATTTCACAAAATGGTACACTAGGAAAAAAGGGCCAAATAACACGTGTTCAAACGTGTGCAAAGTTTACGGGTTTGTGTTATTTTTGTGTTTTTAGTGTGTAAACTTCTGGTGAAATGTGTTTTATGTGTGTTCGCAAAAGCGTCATTTGGCCCTTTTCTCCTAGTGGTATTGGTCAATTCGTGTCAGATATCGCAGTGAGGTCGTCGGCCACGCAGGGCAAGGCAGTACCCTTCAGCCTTCACACCAATTGGTGTGAAGGCTGAAGGGTACTGCCTTGCCCATCAAAATGACGAATGTATTGCAATACATTCGTCATTTTGATGCATTGGCATCTTATAGCATGGCTCTGTTTCCAGCCACAGTTATAAATTGATGTCGTGGCAACCAAGCTGGCCTACCCGTTTCGTTCTGCTGCCTCTGCTCGAGGTCAGATGAAACGGCAAATTGAGGTTGCTCTCAATCAACGTCGGGCACCACAACCTGTCACCACCTTACATCGCCTTGCCTCACAGACCATGCTGCGCCCCACCCATCCACCCGCCCAACCCTCGCATAGGGATCGCCACGTGAACCAGGCATGCAAGCCCGCCCTCATTCCCCGCTGCCAACAGCACCAACCTTTGTTTTCGCGCTATGAGCGGGTACTTTGAAATTTCATTAGGACACAAATAGCCAATTCACACGCCAAAAACACCCACCTTGCTTTCCGGCGGCGCATCATCTCCCCGGAAGGGATACCCCCAATCAATCGATTGACACCGCAGCGCCACGCATCCCCAGGCAGGGACACCCCCGAGAGCACTCACCCCTTCCCTCGCCCCGGGGATCGCCCCCCACCGACAATCCCCCCCCTCCCGACTTACGAGGCCCGCAGTGCCGAAGCCCAGAGGTCCCGAGGAGGAGCGTCCAAGCCGCCGCCTCAAATGCCGATCCGCGTCCAGCCGCTGCGGCCCCGCGCGTGCCGTGCCAACACGGTCGCTCGACGCCCCAACCGCCTCCCCGAGTCCCGGTGCCGCTTCTCCGCATTGCCAGCGTCCCAATCCCGCAGCCCGTTGCCAGCGAGCAGCGCGGGATGGCGCACTCGCGACTCCCGGCGATCTGAGGGCCGAACAGCCAAACGCCTTCGGCAGGGATCGCTGCGCGGCGGCTTCCCTGATGGGCTCTCGGCGTGATCCACTGAGGCCACATCGACGAACCGAAGGCCTTGCGGAGAGATAGCTGCGCGGAGCGCATGTGTCCACCGACACGCGGAGCCGCCATCCGCGCCGCTGCCCACCAGGGTACTCCAATCCCAGAAAACGGGATCCTCGGAATCGGGGTCATTGCAGTCGTGCTGCCAGTCCCAAACTCACCTGTTCGACTGTCTGTCGAGCGCCAGCGCCAGTGCCGGGCTCTCGCTGGAGTCGCGCCGCGTGCCTGGCCCTCGAAGCGAACTTGCTCGGGGCGGCCGCGCCGAACTGGAATTTGGCGAGGAGGCCAACACGCTGGGCGCGGGACACCGAGGCAGTGGACAGGTGCCAATCAGCTCCGGCGCGCTGACGTCAGACAGGGAGCGGCGTGGAATGGCGCCGTCCCGGCCTCGAGCGGTGGAGGTAAAATTCGGGAGGGAAGCGCGTGGCGCGAGCCTGTTGAAATCACCTCAAGTCAAGGGCATTTGTGCATCGGCCTCCGACTAAAGAAGCGATTAAAGAGAATTAAAAAGGAGAGAAAATGGTGATTTTGTAACACAGGGAAGGAAAATTTAAGTGGAAAAATAATGGGATAAATGCGGTATTCTTTGCAAGTAGAATATAAGACTTCAATCAGAAAACCATGGTCTGGGCGTGGCAATGGCATGGCTGGGGCGTGCCGATGCCACTGCATAGGTGCAACTAAACGATCCGTAGAGTACTGGGAAAGAAACGGAGCTTTACAAGGTGTCATCAAGTTCAAGGACTAACGGCAATCACCAAAATGTCGTGTCTGTCCACCCTGGCGGCGTGGACAGTGTCCCACGATAAGCTGTCCGACTGAGGGTACCTTTACGTGTCGCTCAAGAACTGATTCCCAGCACTCAAGAGCCTGAGCTGCGTCTGGAGCCTGCACAACACTGCGCAATGTCCATCATAGTCGCACTGCCCACTTGCGGTCAGACGTGGTGTCCGGCAATGGTGTATACGGCCTATCAGAGCATGGAGCGGTGGCAGGCATCGCTCACGGAGTGGCTGCGAGGTGGAAACGTCCCACTCAAACGCTGGAGCTTGTGCTCCGTGGGTGACAGGTGTTGCTCTTGGAATGTGGAGGCAACCCTCGAAGTTCCCTTGAGAGCCTCAGATCATGAGTGGCTAATTTGGGAGCGGCACCACCTGCGCCTGGCATCCATGCACGAAGATGCAATATGCAGGTTGAGCAAGACAGGAGTGGAAACTTCAGCGGAGGCCAGGGCTCGATGTTGCATCGAGGCCCGTCATCGGATGCATACTTAGCAATGGCAAAGGCTTGAAACAAGTTAGCGAGAGGATGACGATGTGATTTCAGAGGCTGCCGGGCTACAGATATACGATTGACTGACAAGGACTTACTCATACGTTCAGTTAGCGATGGGATAGCGTCACCATAACGTAGGATTGATCCTCGGGCGGGCAGGGCTCGAAGTGACTGGCTGTTGATGAGTTGTAAGCGTCGGAGCGTGATGGCGTCATGGTATAGGGAGGTTCATGGCACTAGTAAAAACAGGCCAGATGATATAGTCCTGACACGGTCTGCTCAAAATCCAACTGTGTATTTTGGGCAAATGTGGTCCAAAAGTACACAGTTGGTACACACATTGACACAGTTTTAACCGTGCATCCCAGGAAACCGTGTAGTCAACACAGTTGTTTGAGGTACACGGTCGGAACTGTGTCAATGTGTGTACTAATTGTGCACTTTTTGGACCACATTTGCCGAAAGTGCACAATTGGATTTTGAGCAAACCATGTCAGGACTGTGTCATCTGGCCTGTTTTTTCCTAGTGTGGGGTAATCTGATCCATGGCAAGAACACTTATGACACGTATTGGAAAGGATAAAATCTTTTCTTATTCGAAGCTGTACTGGGGAACGTTGAGAGCAATACAAAGATAATAACGATGTACTGATACGTTGGCTTTAACATAAATACGAGGCGCTCCACGGTGAGCAAGAGCCTCGCCGAGTCCGTCGATTCCTATCCGGTCCATGTGCCTCTGGTCGTGCCGGTTGCAATGTTGGTGCCAGCCTGTCTCCGTCCCTCTTGCGGAAGCGCTGCCCCTGTCGATCGGGGCTTTGTGTAGCTTTGTGTCGCCTTCTCGCACTAGGAAAAAAGGGCCAGATACCACGTGCTCATACGTGTACAAAGTTTACGGGTTGCGTCATTTTCGTGTTCTTAGCGTGCGGAACTTTGATGAGATGTGTTTTACGTGTGTTCGAAAAAGTGTCATTTGGTCCATTTCTGCCAGTGTCGTCGCCGAGAGTGCCGCATTGGGCAGAGGAGCACTTGTTTGTTCAATGGACGACTGCATCACACGCAGTGTGCGCACTCCATTCACAGAAAGTCTGACCCCGCTTTCCATGCGCCTATCGTCTTCAAGCTCCTCCAAATGAACCTCAGTTTTCTACCTTCTGTTGCTCCACAGGCAAGGGCGAACCGTAACATACCTGTCAAGAAGACAGCACGGCAACCTGCAGGTCCCTTCACCAGCCCCCCCACCACCACAGCAGAGATTTCCACGCGCTGCATTCAGCGCACATCTCACTCCACATCCGATCATGCGCGGCCATCCCATTCCCGC